GTAGTAGTAGTAGTAGTAGTAGTAGTAGTAGTAGTGCATTGTAAACGTATACTAGATCGTAGGTCAGAACTCTATAGTAGAATGGGATATTGGATGGTTTCAGTCCGGAAGCAGGAGCCAAGGCCGAGATTTGATTACTGGGCACCTTAGTGAGGGTTACATGGGGTATTTGGTGGTGCTTTGGCAAAATAGGTGGCTGGCGGATGGAAATATCAGCCACAGGGGGTCTTGGGGAACCGGCAACAGGCTCGGTCCAGTTTCGCGGCTGTCTAGATCCACACGATAGGCCATCGAAAGCACGAGGTGCGAAAACATATTGCGACACGAGAAAAAAATTGCAAACAGAAAATTTAAAAAAATAATGGAAAACGGACCCAGCAACAGCCGCGATTTGGCGCGAAACAGCCGCGATTTGGCGCGAAAAGCCATGAATCGTAGGAGCCCTCAGAAAATGAGCCCCCCAACGTTCGATTCATGACCCGGTTTTCTCAAAAAAACTTGCAGGTAGAGCCGGCAGCAGTCACAACCACCACCACGAAACTACAGCCGCGAATTGTTGCAAAGCCGCGAACTGCAGCCGAACAGCCGCGAACCGACGCCAACAGCCGCGGACCTCGACTGGAACAGCCGCGAACCGACGCCAACAGCCGCGAACCGATGCCAAAAGCCGCGAACCGATGCCAACAGCCGCGAACCGAAGCCGACAGCCGCGAATTGTAGTACTAGTAGCAGCATCAGTTGTAGTAAAAGTAGTATAGTAGTAGTAGTAGTAGTAGTAGTAGTAGTAGTAGTAGTAGTAGTAGTAGTAGTAGTAGTAGTAGTAGTAGTAGTAGTAGTAGTAGTAGTAGTAGTAGTAGTAGTAGTAGTAGTAGTGGTAGAGTAGTTAGTAGTAGTAGTAGTAGTAGTAGTAGTAGTAGTAGTAGTAGTAGTAGTAGTAGTAGTAGTAGCAGCAGTAGTAGTAGTAGTAGTAGTAGTAGTAGTAGTAGTAGCAGAAGTAGGCACCCCCCCTACCAACTACACTTGCTCTCAACCATGTTAAGACAACATCCATTTTTCTCGGTATTTACGGCACTTTCGTCATGTGCGATCATCCTAAAAGCCTAAAAATCGACTTGTCGAGTTTGCAAACTCGGGCTCTTGATTTTGAACTTGCTTCTGGGGGTGGGTGGGGGGGTGGGGGGGGGCATGATGACGACAGTGTTACGCGAACACACCCAGCAGTATCACCACAAGAGCCGTTTAACTCGGTATTTACGGTACTTTCGTGATGTCAGACTTTGTTACATATTCTGAGCCCTTACTTCTCGACTATGCGTATTAAACTTTGCTGTTTAGAACTGCTTGCAAAAAAAACTCGAAATTGGGTGGGGGAAAGCTTCTTCGGGGATGATCACGACACTGTTTTGCGGACACCCTGAACAATATTTCCACACTCAAGCGCGCACACACCACACACACACCACTTCAAAAACAGACCCTCCTACGCAGAGGTTGGGCGGTAGGGGTGTTGGCGAGCCCCTCCCACGTACAGCTGGCATCTTTGTTTTTGATGTTTAGAAGATGTTGCGCTTCAGGTTTTAGAAATGTTAAACCCTTCTTGGCAGCACCTGGGTTTTGCACGGTATTTACAGGTTTTCGTACTATCCGATCACCTGGGGTTTATCAGTTTCTTCCCCGTCGAGCTTGCAACTCCAGCTGCTGTCGCAGTTTTGGGGCCTGAACCCCTGCAACTTCACCGGCTGTGACAGTTAAGGAAACTGAGCCTCTGCAACTTCTGCAGCTGTCACAGATAAGGAGCCTGAGCCCGTGCATCTTCTGCAACTATCGCAGCTAAGGCGCCTAGCAGCTACCGCTGCCCAGCCCGGATGGAACAAGCGTAGTTGGTAGGGGGGGGTGGCTAGTAGTAGTAGTAGTAGTAGTAGCAGTAGTGCTAGTAGTAGTAGTAGTAGTGGTAGTAGTAGTAGTAGTAGTAGTAGTAGTATATAGTAGTAGTAGTGGTAGTTGTATTTTCCATTGCATGTATATATGTCTATATATATATATACATACATACATGAACAGAAAGACACAGAGAGTGTACCCTACCCTACATGTACCCTAACAACTTTTGCTCAAGCCGGCTCAAGCCCATGTGGCTACATACGCAGAGACACAAAGAGTGTACCCTACAACCCTAAAGGCCCAAGCCGGCTCAAGCCCATGTGGCTACACCGTTTGTTGGTTCAAATCTGGCCATTTTCGGGTTTAGCAAACGCTGGCTTGTGCCATTTCGTGTCTGGCAAACGCTGGCTGGCGCCATTTTCGGGTCTAGCAAACGCTGGCTGGCGCCATTTTCGGGTTTAGCAAACGCTGGCTGGCGCCATTTTCGGGTTTAGCAAACGCTGGCTTGCGCCATTTTCGGGTCTAGCAAACGCTGGCTGGCGCCATTTCGGGTTTAGCAAAATCAAACACCGATAGCTTTTCAATGTTTTGAAGTTTTGTGTTATGTGTATTGTTGGTTTTGTTTGGTCGCTGGTTTCGCGGGTGTAGCAAACGCTGGCTTGCGCCGTTTTCGGGTTTAGCAAACGCTGGCTGGCGCCATTTTCGGGTCTAGCAAACGCTGGCTGGCGCCATTTTCGGGTTTAGCAAAAGCAAACACCGATAGCTTTTCAATGTTTTGAAGTTTTGTGTTATGTGTATTTTTGGTTTTGTTTGGTCGCTGGTTTCGCGGGTGTAGCAAACGTTGGCTTGCGCCGTATTCGGGTTTAGCAAACGCTGGCTGGCGCCATTTTCGGGTCTAGCAAACGCTGGCTGGCGCCATTTTCGGGTTTAGCAAACGCCGGCTGGCGCCATTTTCGGGTTTAGCAAACGCTGGCTTGCGCAATTTTCGGGTTTAGCAAAAGCAAACACCGATGGCTTTTCATTCGCGGGTGTAGCAAACGCTGGCTTGCGCCGTTGTCGGGTTAACCAAACGCTGGCTGGCGCCGTTTTCGGGTTTAGCAAACGCTTGCTGGCGCCATTTTCGGGTCTAGCAAACGCTGGCTTGCGCCATGTTCGGGTTTGGCAAAAGCAAATACGCCGATAGCTTTTCAATGAAAAGCTATAATGTACTTTTGAACTTTTGTGTTGTGTTTGTTGTTGGTTTTGTTTGGTCGCTGGTTTCGGGTGTCGCAAACGCTGGCTTGCACCGTTTTCGGGTTTAGCAAACACTGGCTGGCGCCATTCAAGGTTTAGCAATGCGACCATATGATATAACCACTTATACGCCAAGTAGCGTATACATACGCCGGCTGCGTAATACAGAATATAGCTGCCGCTACAACAGCTTCCTTATGTATACACAGCTGTCCTTTGGGCAGCTGCGGGCCCCAACGGTGGTGCCGCTTTTGGTTCCTGCCTTGTTTGACGCTTCGCATTCGGTTGTGTCCGGGTGCTAGGCTTGGTTGTCTCCGAGGCTGAGGAGATGCAGTACCAACCGGAGACGCTGAATTCACTGGTCTCAGTCCAGTGCGTCTCCTGTAGGATGAGCACGTCACAATGTTGGGAGGCTTCAGCTGCTAGCCACGTTTTAAGTTCACCCCATTGCTGTTGGCCTAGATGCCCCGCGCTCCACGAGACTACTCTAACAGATCTTTCCAGTCGTCCTGCCCTGCGGGAGGCTGTGCCATATGCAGGGGAGTCAGCAGTCTGTGACTGAAGCTCTCTTCGAGTGGGTGGGGGGCGTACCCCCAGACGATCAACCAGGGTAGGTGTCAGTACCTGCCCTCGGTATGGTACGGGCCCGTCACTACGGACTGTCCTTCTACATGCTGTCTTGAACGAATTCTTACGAAGAGATGCAAAGTTTTGTGAGTGCACTGGCAATTGCGCCATCCGCTACTTTCGTCAAGAGACCGAAGCCTAATGACTCCCTCCACTGCGCGGAAGTGGAAACCCTACCGCCTGCCCAGTTTGGCAATGTTTTAAACAGTGTCTGGGCCCAGGAATTGGGACCTGGCGGCTCAAAGCAGCTCCTGTATGAAAAGGGAGAGGACCATGGCGTGGAAGGAGGCACAAACCTTTACTGTTCAGAAAAGGGCCCGGTAGGAACCTCTAGCACAGCAGTTGCGCCCCAAGCCTGTTCGAAACCTCTCATTCAGCGCGGCCGCTTGAGCACTTGTGGCGGCTCTGAAGCAACTAGTAGTCTAGGCTTGAGGCCTCAGATCGGTCCCTTGCCAGGCGCCAGCTTTCCGTCGCTCCCACAAAAGGCTGGCTGGACGAGCCCCGCTGCAGGGGTGCTCGGGATTTTCTGATACAATTGATACAACAGTGAATACAGCTGTGCGCGGGCTGAGGCCAGCACCGGAAACTCTACAACCAAACATCCCGATCCCTCCCTTCACTACGGCAGAGCCGCGCATCAAATGTCCATAGGACAGAACTATACAGAAGTGGTCCCTGGCTACGCGTTCTCCGGAGGGCTTCTTTGCGAAATGCTTGCGAAGTCGCTACCAGTGTCCCCTTAGCCCTTGAACCCAATCTTCGTTCCGTTGACCCCAAGCCATGCTCTCCTACACCAGTAAACTACTGGTTCTGGAAAAACCCACAAGCCTGAACCCTACCCAGGCTTTTTCATCCCTGGGCCCCACGCCCTCGATCATGTCTCACGCTGAGCTCGTGAGATGACCGTCCGTCTACACACACACACACACACATGAAACGATTTTCCCCAAGTTGAGCCCTCAGAAGCTGCAACATTCCTGTCGGTTCCGCCAAGGATTCGAAAAGGACTTGTCCGGATTTGTTCGGGACGCAGATCTGCGCCGCTGGGTAGCAGTTGGAGGGCGGCAGACATGAATCGCCTCTTGCTATAGATGTAGGAACTAAAGAAAGTGCCCTTAATTGCCCCAAGACTTCAGTCCTGCGCTGAACAGATCCAGCATTTCCCAATGAGCCCAGATCCCGAAGAATCTCAGCGAAGGTGTCTCCGCCACCCCGTGCTTGTGATCGCAGGCTCACTCCCTGTGCACAACTCGGGCATCTCAATCCTGAAGGCCGTTCCAGTACGACTGGCCGGACCAGTTGCGATCGGGCGGCGCCTGCCGGAGGCGCGCGCCACGCCGCACGGGGTGCCAGCCCTGCTCCTGCTCTGCAGAGAGTGCCGGCTCGGCGGGCGCCGCTGCCTGAAGTTTCTTGCCGGCTTCCCGCCACCAGCTGTGCGCCAAGACCTGCTGTACAGAAGGTCGTTCTGAAAAGTTCCCAGCCATCATGCGCTGCACCAGGTCCTGGAAGGATGCGCAGTTCGACAGCGGCTGCCAGTCGACTAGCATCTCGCATGTCTGGGCCAACTACTACTACTACTACTACTACTACTACTACTACTACTACTACTACTACTACTACTACTACTACTACTACCACAACAACAACCACAACCACAACCACAACCACCACCAGCACCACCAATCCCACCACCACCACCACCACCACCACCACCACCACCACCACCACCACCACAACCACAACCACAACAACCACAACCACAACCACAACCCGCGACAACGACCACGACAACGAACACGAGGACCAGCGCCGACCACAACGAAAGCCACAACGACGATGACAGTGGAGACGGTGACTACGACGACGACTGCGACGTTGCAATCATCACCATCATCATCACCGTCACCATCATCATCAGCATCACCATCATCACTATCATCACTATCGTGGCTTCTGAGATGCTTCGTTATCTTCGACAGACCTGCCTGGACCGGCACATCATCTGCGCTGGCCGCACCACAGAGTGCAATCCTGCACTGGTCATTGGCTTTGACCAGCATAATGAGAGAAGCAACAGACTGTTCACATCACCATTTAGATACATATGGATGCACATGTCTGGCAGCGCTGTTTGACAATAGAATCCAAGCAGTTATGGATACTAACGCACAACACGGAGTCCAGACACATGACACCGAAGATGCCTACAACATGGGGGCCTAAGGCTGAAGGCTCGTTTGGCAGCCAAACGGCGCGATCAGCAATAGCTGGACGACCAAGATCACGAAGAAGCCCGACTGCTGCAGTACGAAGACCTGAAAGTTTGCGCTTGGGCCCACGCCCGGTAGCAGCTTTGGGCTCAGGGGGGCTAGGGCCTGGACTAGTTACTCGTTGCCTCTCGGAAGAGTTGCTCATGACAAGTGCTGGACAGTTGCAATACGAGCATGAGCCCTCTGAAGCCAGAATGTTTGCTCTGAGTTCTCCTTCAAGGCACTGAAGAGTCATGCTCGTAGAGCTCCTTCAGCCTGGGCGGTGCTTTTCGCAAGAGCTCCAACAGCTCATCACACTTACGGAGCTTCTGAAGCAGCTTGGATGAAGATTGCAGGTTCAAGTTAGATAGAGTCTTGTCGGGAGATGGAAGATTGGGTTTTACTGATCACCCCCTCCTTTAAACCCCGTCAGAAGGAGTGGATCCCTCGACACTACCTCTAGCAAAGGCTCGCAACGCAGGCGCACGTCCAGGTGCACACGAATTGAACTGCAACCCGAGGTGCGGATCCCGCTGCGTGATGGCGACGAAACCGGCCGCCAGTGCGGAAAGGCAAAACTGAGTTCACGACTTGGATCGGTGGTACACAGGGCTTTCGGATACGATCCTCATCGACCCCGAGGGTTTTGTGGCGAAGCCCGAGGCAAGATGCAGCCGGTACAGGAGCTTGTGTGATGTGGCTGCAGGGGCCAAGTGTGCTAGAGCACCTACACATGCCAAAGAACGAAACAACAGGAAGCAACAGGTGCATAAACAGTCTCCAAGCCGAATCCCTGCACGACCAAATCTTCGTGCGACTCACAAGTTTGTGGGAGCACCAGACCCCAAGCCGCAGGTGAAGAACAAGAGTAACAAAAAAAACACTGTCCGCCCGGCTGCCAGATAGAAAGAGGTTGCAAGCCTCGGATTCCACTACACTCGAGGTTTGGACGGGCTGGGGCGGGGGAGGTTTGGAGGTGATGCTTTGTCATCGCAATTCCTGAAGCAGCTCCGGCAACATGTCCCCGCTCTCAACTGTCCCGCAGCCCTGTCCCGCAGCCCCGCAGCGGATCTCCCCAGGCGCCAAGAAGCAGGAGCTCCCGGAGCTTGCAAACCTCGGAGCCAGGGACAGCGGACTCAGCGGATCGCGGCTCTGGCTCTTTCCCTCCTTCTTCTTGCTTAGGCTTCCACTCTCGGAGCACCGAAGCACCGAGAACTCTCATCCGAAAACTGAAGCCTCGAGCGGCTCGAGCAGGTTTTCTCTCCGGTTCGAGCAAGGGGCCCATTCGAGCGCGTAGGAGAGCATCAGGCCTGCCAGCTCCAGGGGGAGATTAGATTCATGTGGCTCCGCGGCATCCGTCAGCCCGGTCCCAGAGTCCCAACACTTTCAACGCGCCCAAGAAGACTCCCAAGACCCCCGACCTACGGGGCAGCAGATCATGCCTGGGCTCTGGCCGGAGTGCTGGAAAAAGCTTCGGGCTGGCTTCGGTGAGGCGATTTGGGTTCCAGGTCTCAGGGAGTCGGATTTAAGTTCCGGCTTCTCTGTTTGGGAACTTATGGCCAGCGAAAAGCTAGATGTTGCACTGTCAGATCAATGCAGCAAGCTCCCTCAGTGCTTTCGGAATCCCAACTCAGCAAGAGTTAGAGTGGCGAAGGTGTTGGCTCGCGGCTTAAAGGAAAACTTTACTGCCGCTCGCCGGCGTTGTTGGTCCACGCCCAGGCACCATAGACGAGGAAGGCAGACATCGTCGGCAGCCTGGGTTCTGTGATTTGTGTCGCGTGAAAGGCGGAAATCTGAAATGATCAAAGGCCAAGCAGCATTGGCTCGAAGGATGTCTCTGATCCCAAGATACTATGCATCGAATCCTCAGGCTCGCACCTACACTGCAGCGTACACACACAAGGAAAGAGTAAGGTATCTTCATTGAATGCTGTTCAGAACAGGGAAGACAGAGGGACGGGTAGGGAAGCACCATTGCGACTACAGAAGAAGCACGCTGCAGGTCCCTGCTTAGAGCGAAGTCTGGGCGAAGGGCCAGCAGTGATTCGTTCAGTGCCGCGTACACCTGGCTCGCACCGAGAGACCAGGCTGCCGGTCAAAGTTCTACTACGGGTAGCTGCATGGGCAGGGTAGTGCAATGCACACTTGCAGGAAGAGCTGGAAAGATCGCAAGGCAGGACATGGTTCCCGCTGCCTCGGTGCTGGTCTTCAGCGCCTCGGCGATGTGCGGCAGCACGTACTTGAAGGTCTTGTTGGCGGCACCTCGGCCGTGAGCATGGGACACACGGAAGTAAGAAATGAATCGTTGCCATTGCAGTTGCATTTTGTCCTTGGGCTGGTGATCGCTCGGAAAAACTCGGCCATGCACCTTGGATGCCTGGATCTCCGTAGACCTTCGTTGCCTTCCAGTGCGTTCCGGGGCGACGGGAAGCTAGAACATCGGGCAGCGTGCCTTAGAGGCCAGGAAGTACCGAAGCGACGGGTCACCGTACTCCTGCATCGGTTCCAGAGAGAAAAGAATGAAAGTCGGTCATGTGCATGTCTCTTGGTTCCCGCGACCATCCGCGACCACAGGAATGAGGAGAAATATCAAAAAGAGAACACAAATACCAGTACGGGCCGGAAGACGGCAGAGAACTGCAGAGACTTGCCTGTTGCAGCGTCTCGTGCTTGATTTTCAATGCCTGATTCGCACGGATCCCGGGTTGCTCCAATTCTGATACACCGCAAAGCACAGCACCTCCCTCCCATCGCAACTGTCTCAGCAGCGACATTCTTTTGCCGGGGTGCTGAGAGCTGGGAGGTGAGGGATGCAATCTCCTGCATGCAAAGGGAAGCTGTTGCATTCCGATTATCGGGAGCTGTGCCGCCCATGGCCTGTTGTTGCCGCGATGCCTCTGCGGTGAGCTTCTCCAACCTGATAGAAGTCCAAGCGATGATCCGCGAATTGACAGAGCCGCAAAAAGCGCGGGGTAAGAACCACGATGACTCACAAACCCTCACAGAGGAGCTCGGCCTCTTTGCCTCCATCTCGGCGTTGCCGGCCGCAGCACTGGGCTGCCTGGGGTGCCAGCGAAAACCAAAAAGCCGAGCGTGGCCAGGTCCGGGCTTCCCGGCTTCTTTGCGACTTCGGCCCGGAGGCTGGCGATGGTGCTCTGCTGCTGGGAGACCTGCGTTGCCCCCAAGCAGAGGCGGCGGTGGAGGGAGCAGTTTCCCGGCCTGTGCGGTGAGCTCGGCTATCTGCCTGGCCTGCTCACAGGCATTGAAGATTCCATACACTTTCATAAGATGTTGCGAGTTTGCGATGGCTACCTAGGCTACACGGAACCCTTCACGCCCAACAGCTG